CTAGCATTTGAACCCCCTTTGCCACTACACTAGAATCTTCATTCAACAACGGTTTCCGTCCTTTTAGCGCAGTATGGTTTTCTGGCAAAGAGAATTCAATTGAAACTTTGCCACCACCTAGCTTCTCCCCTAGTTCTCGCCTATAGTGCACATTGTATTATTGTAGCAAGGGAGGAGCATGACCAAGTACAGTATACTTAAACCCACTTGGGTATATGCAAGATTTTCTCAAGTCAGTAGATGTGGAATACCCACTGACTAATTCTTTGTGCCAATAGACAGAGATTGTATGACGTGAATTTGTACTAACTATTGACATTGTAAATCATGCACTGGACTTGACTTCTAGGATTAATCGATGGTAAAAGTGCCTGGAATGTCAAAGAAACGCCCCCTCCACCACAGTCGACTAGGGATACAGGACTAACTAGCACAAAGGATGAAGTGAAAAACTAGCTCAAGTATTAAGATACCCAACCGCATGAGACTAATCACTAGCCACAACTCACTGGAAAGAGTTCTTATAATCAGGAGCCGCTTGGCCTTCTTATTCTTACCTCCCGAGTCCCTCTACCTATTTGGTAGTATATTCACTAGGAAACTTGCACCAGAGGCAAAGTTACATGTAATGAACTCATTTAATCCACTTAGCTTCTAGTGTAATGACAAAAGGTGACTTAAAAAATTGCTTTAGGCTACAGTTACAAAACCTTGTTAAAATTCCTAGCTCCGTCCCCTCCTCAAAACTCCAAGGATTGAGTGTTAGTTTAACTAAAAGCAGGACAGAGTTTAGAAAGGAGCTCATGCAAGAAAGAGTCTATAAAGCAAGACATGGTTGTTCTAACCCCAGACTTGAGGGACTTGTGACTTAGGTTGTTGGCACGAGCTTAGCACCAAGCGAAACTAAGCCTAGTATTTAATTGAAGAATAATAGTAGAAGGGAGTGCCTAATATTCCTGAGTTTCAAAGGTTTCTGTTGATCCTAAAGGTCCGCTCCATGCGAATTTTTCAGTCATAAAAAAAGCAAAACAATGCCTGGTCTAAAATTGAATATTGCCAAGAAACGTCGGTAGTCAAAGAAAATAAACAAAATGGAAAAGACCAAGTCTTTGTCAATATAAGGAGGTGCCTTATGAACTACACTCTAATAGCAGGTGGAGAAATTGTACTGTCTCAACTCCTACGGTATTGAACAGCTCTGATGAATTCCAATACGACAAACACCCTAATCAATGCAGAATATAGTACTCAAAGTTGAGAGAATGATCTGCGTACATTCTACCCTTCTCATAATCCAATCATATGATTACACTGAATATGTTGTTGTTTGCGAGAGCAAATTTTCGAATCAGTTTTCTACTATGTGAGAAAATGAAGAAACAAAAAAACATAAAATGGCAGTTTGTGTAGACAATAATGACCTAATAAACTTGGACATGACAGGCAAAAATGGGTCCCTCTACCTATCACCATTATTTGTTTGTATTACTATCTAGACAAAAGCTTAGAGCAAACCATCCACCGCTAATCAATTATCCCTCCAATTTCTACAAAATATTTTCTAGCCTCTTTTTTTTTTTTTTCATAAGGTCATGTCATTTATATATTCATAGTATAAAAGTTTATTTAATTATTATCACAATTTAATACATGCATAATTCACATTCAAACCAACTACGAAAAGGACTCACAAACCTAATACAAAGTGCAATAAAATAGAATGTATAATACTAACCTCTACACCAGGTGAAGTAAAACCAAGGATTCGAATCTTAGCTCCGACATCACCCAATACCCGTAACTCGACCCGGTCATTCAAGGCGGCGTCACGAATCAAATCCGCTGCGTCAGCTTGGAGCAAGTTAACCCGATCCACAACGATGGTAGTTTCAACCCGCTTAACACTATGAGCTGGTTGGTAGAACGCGGGTACGGAGCCCCGACCCAGAGGAATCCCACGGTACATGATCGTGAACCGGGACTCACCGTACTTGATCCCAACCTTATTATCATTGAAAGCAGTGAAAACCATTCGAATATTGAGTGAAACAGAGGCGGAGGAAGTGGCAATCGTAGCTGGGTTAGGTGTAATTCCAACGTATTGAACACCCACTTGTTGAAGATCGAACTGGGGTTTTTTAGGCTTAACGGCAAGTACAATTACAAGTATGACAGCGAGAATGAGGAGAAGTAAGAAGGAAAAGAGTAGAAATAGACAACAACAACAACCTTTAAATGAAGCTTTAGATGATGAAGAAGAAGTGGGATGAGGGTAATATTGAGGATGATGGTGGGTGCCATTGATACCATTTTGGGTTAATCTTGAGGTCATTCTGTTTTGTTGGTGAAGATGAAGAAGAATTAGAATAGGATGAAGAATAATATGTACTGTATTAAGACCCACCACTCTCTTCTTTGCTTTCTCTCTAATCCCTTTTTCAACTTTGCTTTGCTTTAGGAGAGAGTGGAGATGGAGGGAGGGAGGGAGGGACAACTGTGTGTGGAAAAAGTGTGAGTGTGTGTGTGTGTGTTTGCTTGGAATTGAAAAAAGGTGGCATCAAAGTGGGGTAATTTTTGACTTTGCATTCTTGCCATTATTGTTTTGGTTCTTCTTTCTCTTTCTCCTTTGTTCTTTACTAATTGTATTACTTAAACTTAAAATCTTTTGTTTTTTTGGAAATTTGAAAAGAAATTATAGATTAGATTTCTTTCTATTTATTCTAATTTTAATGGACATTGTTAATTACCTAATATGATAGTTATTAATTTTTATTGAAATTAATTTAGGTGAATGAAAATTGATATGAACATCATAGTTATTTAAAAAGTATGCAGAAATGTTGAAATTTTTTATGTATGATTACAAAACATTGATTCGAATCGTAAAAAAAGTTATTAATTAATACTTATATTAGGATAATTGTAGCAGTTACTTTTTATAAGATTATAAATCAGTTCCAACTATAAATGAGTTATTAATACTTGAAAGTATTAAATTAACTTGATTACGTCATATCTCTTAAGAATGTGATTGTTACTAGAATTTTATGTAACTTTTCACCGGTTCATGACAATGTTTGATAGAAAATAAGATTACTTTCACCCTATTTCAAAAATCTTCATTTTTATATTTATTTCTTTTAGTATACTCACATATTCATCTCCATGTTTTTATTTTCGTCACTCCATCTTCTGAACATCTGAGTTTCTGACTAGCCAATACTTTATTTTCTACATCAAAATCGATCTAACATAATTATCATTTTGTAAAACTTATCTTTAATTTTTTTAGTGGTATATATCTTTTTATCACACAAAATTCTAAAGACGAACCTTCATTTTATCCACCCCACATCAATATAATGTGTAAAAAAATGAAATCACTAATCAACACAAAATAAAATAATCTATCTTATTGAAGAATTATTATTTCTTGTTCCACTAACCAAAGATCCATAAACTCTTTAATTTTCTCCCTTTTTTTGTTTAAATTGTGTATGATCTCAAAATTGAACATTTACCCAGCTTATTCTATGTCTAGTTTAGAGTACTAGTTAATTCTAAAATATTTTTTATACTGTTATAATGAAACAAATTAAAAGTGACAAATTCAACTCAAATTCATTTAACTCGCTCACTTGAGATAACTTATAAACTAAAATGGTGAACACTTAAAAAGTGTTTATTATGGTAAAAGTAAATAATTTTTTAACTAATATTGATGTCTTTTCTATATGATTTGCAATTTGTGATTAATTAAGAGAAGCTTTATTAATGAAAGTTAATCACGTTATTGGAAAGGGAGAGATCTATTAGATGATAAAGTGGCACATCATAGTATATATTTATATATAGAGAGAATACGAAGTGTTATAATTAATCTAAGTTTAAATGATTTATTAAAATGGAATAGAAGGTGGAAATTTTAGGTAAGATTTTCTTTCTTTCTTTAACAACATGACCCTTCCACTCCTCTGTCCAACAATATTTATCTCCTGTTGATTTGACACAATGATTAAAAAACAATAAATAATAGATGTAATTTTATCAAATCACTCTTATTAAATATAAGTCATTAAAATATTGAAAAATAAATAATATATCATAATAAGGATAAAATAGACATAATCGATAAATTATTCATTAATTTTATAAATTGAACAAATATTATTGAACATCTCAAAATAATATAATAAATAAATAAAGATGAACAGAGGCAGGGGCGGAGCTATGACATGGCGAGGGTGGTCAGATGAACAACCTTCGTCGGAAAATTTTTACGGGTATATATACTAAATATCGAATTTTTTAGATATATACTAACTGTTGCACAACCTTGACACAATAAAGGTTGACAGCCCAGCGGTTAAGGTTGTGCAAAGATGCCTCAGCGTCCCGGGTTCGAGCCCAAGCGTTGGCGTTTTCTTTAAATTTTATCATTATTCCATTTGTTCTCTTAGAAAAGGCAAAATTCAGTCTGGGTTCGATCCCAGGCTTGAACAATTCATTTATTTAATATCTGTTCCGTTTTTCTCTTAAGAAAAAGTACAAAAGTTACCTTTTATAAGTTAAGAAAAACAAAAGGAAATAAAAGGTCTATTTTTTACTTTTCTTAATTTAAAAAAAAAAATAGATTCATAGTTGTCTTTTCCTTTTAGTTTTTTGACTTCTTCTTCTCCCAAAAACCCTTTACAACTTTACTCTTACCTTTCTCTCTTCTCAACTTTCATACATATTTGCAAGTTTTAAGAAATTGGAAGCTTTAATCATTGTATATTTCTTCCTCAACCGCCATTGAAGTGTGAAAAGGTATTTCTTAATTCTTTTTTTCCTTTAGTTTAGTTTTTTCTAATCATGTGTTGAAAGACTTGAATATCTTAGTTTTTATGTTAAAAGCTACTTTATTTATTTGAGTATCGATCAACTATTTGGTGTATTGTGGATGCTTTTTAATAAGTTTGGTATACTTGAACTTGACTACTATTTCAGTTTGGTGTTCAATGAGTTTGGAGAAATATTTTTTTAGAGTACCCAAAACAAGTTTGGCGCCTCAAAATCAAAATCAACTACGCCGAGATGAAAATGTCAACCAAATAGAAATATCATCTCACTCTTCCCAAAGACAAGAATTTGATGTAAATGATTTAAAGGCTGATCCGGCTGAAAGAACTCCAATTTTGAATTATCATCCAAACCTTCGTGATGAGATAAGGAGGGCATATATCATTAAAGGTCCTTGTCAACCTCAAAATCATCAGTTTCCTCAAACTAATTTTTTTGGAACACCACGTCGTTTTGTTTATACATGGTTTGATGAATATCGTGATTGGTTGGAATACAGTATTAGTGCGGATGCTGCTTATTGTTTACCTTGTTATTTGTTTCAAGGAGAAAACATTAATCAAGGTGGTGGTAATGTATTTTCGACTAAGGGATTTACAAATTGGCATAGAAAAGATAGCTTTGCTACACATATTGGTCTACCAAATAGCGTTCATAATCAATCCAAAAGAAAGTGTGAAGATCTCATGCGAGAACAACAATCCATTCAAGCCGCATTTTACAAGTTGGATGATAAAAGTAAGCATGAATATCGAATTCGGTTAAACACTTCAATCGATGTGGTAAGACTTCTCTTGGATCAAGGTTTTGCATTCCGTGGTCATGACGAGAGTGAATCGTCATTGAACAAGGGTAATTTTCTTGAAGTTCTTTCTTGGTTAGCTGCTAGATGTGATGCAATTAAACCTTTTGTGTTAGAAAAAGCTCCAAAAAATAATAAAATGACTTCTCATGACATCCAAAAAGATATTGTGACTGCGTGTAAGATTGAAACAGTTAAGGCAATAATAGAGGATATAAATAGTGACTACTTTGCTTTATTGGTTGATGAATCTAGAGATGTGTCACGCAAAGAGCAAATGACTATTTGTCTTAGATATGTTGACAAAATGGGGTTTGTGATAGAGGCATTTATTGGACTTGTTCACATTAAAGATACTAGTGCTTTATCTCTAAAGAAAGCAATTGTAGATGTACTTGCTCACCATTCTTTGACTTTATCTAATGTACGTGGGCAATGTTACGATGGGGCAAGTAATATGCAAGGTGAGCTAGGTGGTCTTAAAACGTTGATTAGACAAGAAAGTAGATCGGCTCATTCTGTTCATTGTTTTGCTCATCAACTTCAATTGACTCTTGTTGCGGTTTCTAAAAAGTGTGTTCAAGTAGGTGAACTTGTATTATTAATTTCAAATATTTTGAATGTGTTGGGAGCTTCTTTTAAACGCGTGGATAATTTTCGAGAATCTCAAAAAAAGCATCTCCAAATGGCATTGGATATGGGTGAACTAGAAACGGGTAGAAGGTTGAATCAAGAACTTGGTCTTGTTAAAGCCGGTGATACTCGTTGGGGATCTCACTACAAGTCATTTGGAAACTTTATTAGTAGCTTTGACTCTATTGTTGATGTACTTGATACTCTTGTTGAAAATGCAAGTACTTTGGAAGAAAGAGCAAGCGCATCGGGATTTCTCAGAAGTTGTCAAACGTTTGAGACTATTTTCTTGTTGCATTTGATGACAGATGTTTTAGGAATCACAAATGATCTTAATGTTTCATTACAAAAAAAGGAGCAAGACATTGCAAATGCCATGATTCTTGTAAAGGTAGCAAAGAGAAGGTTGCAAGCTTTAAGAGATAATGAATGGGATCCTCTCTTTAAAAAAAATATTGGATGGGATTCACTTAAAGAAAAGGTAGAAGCATTTTGTATCAAGCATGACATTTCATTACCCAATTTTGATGATCTATATGCTAATTCTGGGAGATCACGACGTAAAGTAGTTATTTGTACTACTTTGCATCATTATCGTGTGGATGTGTTTTATAAAATCATTGATTGGCAACTACAAGAACTTAATGATCGTTTCAATGAGGTGACAAGTGATTTGCTTAATGGAGTATCTTGCTTGAATCCAATTGATTCATTTTCTAGTTTTGACATAAGGAAGATAATGAGAATGGCTGAATTATATCCTGATGATTTTGATGGGTCCAACATGAGAGCTCTTGAGAATCAACTTGTTAATTACATTATTGATGTTCGTGATATTGATGAAAGGTTCTCCAATTTGGGTGGACTTGGAGAACTTTCAAGAAAGTTGGTTGAGACAAAGAAGCATTTAACCTATTCTCTCGTATTTCTTTTAGTGAAGTTTGCTTTGCTTCTACCTGTTGCCACTGCTACAGTTGAAAGAGCTTTTTCGACAATGAAGATTATCAAGAATGACTTGCGAAATCGAATGGATGATGAATTCTTAGATGGTTGCATAGTACCTTATGTAGAGAAAAAAGTATTTAAAGATGTTTCTAATGAGTGTATTATGAAAACATTTCAAGAGATGAAGTGTCGTCGAGTGCAATTGTAGTTACCACTTTACAATTTACATATTTTGGTGTATATGAAACTATCCGTCAATATATTTGTCCTACTTCATCTTCCTTAGTTTATTCATTGATATTTTGTAAGTTTCTGTTTTAAGAATTTTCATTTTGGATAGTTGGTTAATTTGATATTGAGGTATGACTATTTTGAAGCCAATCTTTATAATTTGACTAGCAAGGTTTATTTTTTTACTTGTCCTAAAGTATGAACACCCTTGGCGAAAATCCTGGCTCCGCCACTGAACAGAGGGAGTACTTAATTAAATTAAATTACAGCATTGGCAAAGGGTAACATGCAAGAACCTTTTTAGGTAAATAAACTACTCCTTCAAGTTTGCCAAATAATAGACGAAAATCAAAATGTTTAGTTGACAAATTTAAAGGATTAAAATTTATAAACAGCATAATTAAGAAACAATTTAAAACCGAAATTCTAATTGAAATGCCGCCATTTTTCATTTTCCAATTTTAAAGCACGAACACAAAAACCTTTCACTAGCCACCGAGATCAAGCAGAAGTATTCTGCACAATGAGAGGCGCCGGACGACGTCGTACCAACTCTGTAGTACCGGATCGCCGCCATCCACCTCCGACTCCGATCAATGACCCAAGACAATTTATCTCCACCGGCGGCCGTGATTCCGACGCAAGCTTCGCCAGTAGCCGGCCTTCATCTGCCGGTGTAAACACACGGTCCTCCGCTATCCCCATCTCCGACCGCTCCTATCAACTCTCTGCTCTGCGTACAATCAATGCTTACCTTTCCTCCCACTCTCTCCCTTTTACTCTCAAACATCCTCTCCCTTCTGCAAAAGATATCACCGAAACCCTAAAATTCATTCTCTCTCGTTTCGGATTTTCATCAGCAGAGTCGCACAAACTCGAAGATAATCTCCAAACCCTACTGAAATCCCTAAATTGCCCCGTGAAATTGAACAAGTCTGCATTACGCGCCCCTGGGACGCCTCATTCTTGGCCTAGTCTACTTGCAGCAATTCACTGGCTTGTTCAGCTGTGTAAATTTGATGATCACCGGTTGAGTTCGGCTCAACCACTAGCTCCGGATAACAAGGAATTGAGCTATACTATAGAAAGTTATTTGCATTATTTTAGGGGGAAAGATGAACAAGTAGATGAATTGGATCGTCAATTTATGCAAGAGTTGGAACAACATAAGGAGCGGTTGGTTGAGAATGTGAATGTCTTGGAGGAGAATGTGAAGGCTCAAGAGGAGAAGTTGGAAGCAATGAAGACAGGACCATCGGAAAGAGAGACGTTGGAGAAGGAGAAGAGTGCGTTGGAGGAAGATGTCAAGAAGTTTCAGGCTATCATTGAACAGTTAGAAGGGCATATAGTGAAAATGGATAAGATGGTGGAAGAGAAAGAAAAAGGGTTAGAGACTAAGGTTACAGAGAAAGAGAGCATTTGTGCAGAGAATGAGGAGTTGAAGAAGAGGGTGGAGGAACAAGGGATTAATTCCAGGGATGCAGATAGGATGAAGAGGGAGTTGCATGCTTTGGAAAGGGATATTGGGGATATTGAGAACCAGAGGATTGAATGGGAGGAGAAGGCTTGGGACCTCGACTCTGCAATTGGGAACATGTACAAGAAGCTTGAGGAGCTAATGATCGAGTGCAACCAATCTATCAGGAGGTTGTCATTCCCTCTCCTGTTATTTATTGTTGTTTGAAATAAGAGTGTCTTACTTTCCATTTAACAGAATGAGATTCAATATTTTTTCGTAATATAAGTGTTTGTTGTTTTATGGGCATGGATATATTGCATTGCTGTGCTATTTTAGTTGGACTAAAGCTATAAGAATATGAGTACTAAGATAAGATTGGAAGGACATTCTATTGTTTTCCCTCAATTGATTGTTTCTATTAACATTCACTTAAGTAGAAGTGGTCGTTACAACATGATACGGTTAGATTGCTTCTATAATGGGTTCTCGGCAGATAATTTAGGTGACAGATTATTGGAAATGCAATTTGCTGAAAGTTCTATATAAACTGATTTTCTATCTGTGCTTCTCAGAGTTTTAATTGATTCACTAACTTTCAAAAACATGCCTTTCTTTCTCTAATGGGTAGTGAATTGTTAGCTACAGTGATATATGAGAATCACAATTTAGCCCATTGTTGTAGTGCGGTTCCACTAAACTTTGACTTGAGATATGAATGAGGAACACCATGCTAGTCACAAGGCAATAATTGTTAAGATTCTCATCATACCTTTTACTTATAGATTCTCGAATTTAGTTTTTCCAATCACTCCGGTTAGAAACTAAGGCTGCAGCATGCCTCAGTTTTTTAACTCTATCACTGAGTCGATACACTATTATTTCTTACAGTACAATTCATCCTTCACTGTTGTAGTCTCTGCATGAATTAGATGTATCTTGCCTGATTGGAAGTGCTATGTTGGAATTGAGTTTTGTATTTCCAGCTATACGACGGTCCTTCATGAAGAATATTTTTTATTCTATATTCATGTTTTATATCTTATTTATTTTATTGTTGGATTATGCGGCAATTGATGATGCACTTTTTTAATTTGGCCAAATCATGGACCAAAATACCCAATGCCACTCGGTAAAAAAGTTTTTGGTGGGAGTGTCTCTATGCAATAATCATATCTCAGATTTCTGTGCATTCTTGTAGCTGGTTGAAAAGTTCTTTTCTTTTCCATAGCTTATCAGATTGAACTGTTGGAGCAAATTTTTTACAATTTGATGATTTAGATCATAACATGATAGGGCTTAAGATTGTAAGTTTGAAGCTAGATCAGTCAAAGTGAGATTGAGCAACTATAGTTTTGTATGTTTTCTGTGGTTTGCGGTGGAACTTTCCTTCTACTTGTTGCTCGTCATCATTTCTTCAATGACTCTGACAACAAATAGTCTCATTTGAAATTTCAGGTTAAAGCTTGGAAATGAATTTCAGTATCAATTGAATCCCCAAGGGTCCTCACCAGCGGAGGTATTAGGTATAAATTACAAAAAAACATTAAAGCCCACTCTTGCATCCTTTGAAGATGAGATGAAAAAGAGTTCCATGGGGAAAATGGAAGAGTTGATATCTCTCCAGGAACAGTCATCTGAGAAGGCTATGAAAGTAGAGTCAAAGAGGAATCGTCTGGCTACTCTTCAGGCTCGCATTGATGATGTAAGTTTAACCAGCATCCTATCCCATTATAGAAATGGACAGTGTTCCTCTCTCTCACTCTCTCTCACACACACAAAATTTAATTTTGTATAATATATAACATTTTATTGGAAGTGAATCTAATGACATAATAAGTGGCATTCTATCTTCTAGTGGAGATGCTCTCAGAGTCAGAGGTACCTGCACTATTTGGATAACGAAAATGCATAAAAAAGAATTCCCACTTTTCTGTTTTAAAATATGCACAAAAGAATGTGTGGGTAATAATTGATACTTGTAAAATTGTTTATAATCCAAATTTTGGAAAGTAATGATTCATCATGCCTCGATGAGCTGAGTTTTGAGTCTCTTTTCTTTTTATGAAGTGAATTAGTGGTTGATCATTTATATCAGCGCCACTGAACAGCTTCTCTTTAGCCATGGAATAGTTGTGTTTCTTTTTCTTCTTGCGTGCATGCGTGTCACTGCTGAAATGTTTTGGCCTTTCAGCATTGAATTTGAAAATTAGATAAGGTAATGTTACCATTATTCACAAATTCTAATGGCATAAGGTCTATCAGCTTAAAATATATCTTCTATTAGTCCTTTGGGGATGTATAACGGTGCCTTCAGCCTAATATGGCTATTTGTTTCCTTTTATGATTAATGATAGTTGGAGGCTCAGTTGGACTTGGTAAAGAAGGAAAGACTGGACTTCACATCTAGCTGTGCAACAGAAGCCGGAAGGATAGTTGAGGAAGTTGAAGCAGAGACTCAGAAGTTGGATCAGGTTGAAAGAGAGGCGGTGGACTTTCTGAAGGTATGGCTATTTGCAATTTAGACAAGATTTATACTGTAATGCATGGCTTCTAAATGTTCTCCGACAAATGTTGACTTGTGTGGTTTCTCGTCTTGGATGTATAATCTTCGTTTTAATTGGCATCTTTTTCACTTTCAAAGGCGTCAAAGGCCAAATTACAGGAAACAATCGCACAAACTGAGGAAGAAGTGCAGCTGTGTGCCCGTGAACTCTTTGCTGTTGTTGATTCAGTCTCAAAATATAAAGAGTATATTACATCAAAAGTTGGCATGATGAAGAATGATCTCGCAGAGGCTGCCGGGACTATAGCAGATATGCATAAAGCTGGTTTGCCTGTCTCTGACGCAAACCACTGATTCCTCCTGATGATAATTCCATTAATCTTCGTTTACCTCATGTTTCTTCGTTGTTACTAAAAATATGGTTATGTTGCATAAATGGTTCTATCACTTACAAGGTCTATAAGTAGGCACTTCTCGGTTTGGTCTTTAGAAGAGTGAAACACTGTTGCTGATAAGATCTCATCCTTAATCTATGGCTTTAATTTTAATCATTAAGTTCTCGTCGGATCACGCGAAAACTGCGTTAGTAATTTCTTTGTCAGAAACAGTTAGTTGACATTTGTTATTTTCCCCACTAGTCTAGTAACACAAATATGTTGTATGATGTAGAAACTTATAAAGCTTCGATCTCCTCAAAATCCAGAGTCAGATATGAAACCACACTTTCCATGAATAATGAGGCCAGTAAAAGTACGTTTGTGGCTACCCTGACTGAAGCATTTCTGTTATGCATATAGTCAAGTCTAAGAAAACTGCAGCAATAGAATTTCCTTAATTACGTCTATTCGGTTGACAAGTAGTGCCATCGCACCAATCCAGCAAACAACTCCATACTGAATCTCAACCTTGGCCAATTAACCTTCACACGAGTACAAGCAAAACATTCAAGTACAGGTGTGTGTGTATGAGAGAAGCAACAAACTTTTCTTTTTCTTACTGATAAATACTACGAATAAGACATTCAGCTGATACAACAAAATTGGAAGGTTTAACATAAATAAGAGTAATCCTCATAGCCGAGCTCAGCATGACATATAGCTGCCACAAAAGCCAGCCAAACAAAACCAAACACAAAACACCATTTCTTACAAAAGCCCATTCGACCCACAAAGATGCTTTTGCCATATCCTGACTAAACCTTTAAGGAGATGAAAGATCCATATCTACTGCTCATCATTGTTATCAATCTGTGGACTACCATTGCCTGCTTCAACTTTTACATTTTCATCACTCCTCTGGTTATTCTCATCCACTTCAAGTACATCATCCATCATATCATCCTCCGCAACATTGATATCCTCAACATCCTCATCTTCGTTGTTGCTGACACCGGGAATCTTTCGAGTCTTGGGTCCATGCTCAAGCCTATGAGTCTCTAGCTCTTTGTCCATCGTCTCTTGAAGGTTTGCTACATTTTTGTTGGCTCTCCTTTCTAAAATAGTTTTCCATTCCTCCTCGGCTTTTGCAACATTTTGTTCAGCAATTTTTTTCTGGTATTGCGACAATTCCTCTCTCCTTGCAGCTTTCCATTCCTCGAATATCTGAAAAGAACAAAAAATTTTAAGTGATCAGTCAGCATAACACATGTCCACCAAAATCAACTAGTCCTGAGGCTATTCGATGTATTTTCTAACACTGTAGTCTCACATGCTCAGTCAACTATAGAATTCACACAACTGCATTCAGTACTCCCCCCTCCCCCTATCCACAAACACAAGCACATTCCCAGAGAAACTCACACTACCAAACGCTTCAGGGTTAAATAAACATAATTTCTCTGCCAAGTGCCACCTCAACAAGAAATTTTTCTGTGTACAACTCATCCATTGTGGATTTTCAATTTTCTATCCATTTGGAAGTATATTTCAGTCGTATATAACACAATTGAATGCGTGCAGCTTGATAGTTACCTGATCTTTTCTCTGCTCAAGTAAGGTTGGATCTTCTTCCAATGGTTTGGCAAAAGAATAAAAGATCGGTGGCTCGGCTTTGGTCCTGAAATTAACACAGCCAAAAAATATAAAGAGAAGTTATGAACTGTTACCAGGATAGATAACTGATCAGCCTACACTGCTGCAAAGAGGGATTTTGCAGTCATTTAACAGCTTCAACATTCTGTACATGAACAGAAACTTATCTTCGCGTCAATAAAATTGGAATATGGACATTTGGACCGAAATAAGAAATAACCTGCAAAATAAGAATCCTAAAATTAACACGATAAATTCACTGCTCACAGATCTAAAATAGTGCAGACGTAGACAGCAGAATAAAAGAGACTGATCCCGAAACATTTCAAATGAACTTTTAATGATCTCAAAAACTCGAAATAAAAATGGAATACATCTCATACAGGTGCTTTTTTAAGCAGGTCATGTAGAACAAGCTTCATTGCTGGTTGCATCAGGAATTAATATTTGATGTAGCTAACACAACATACCTTATAAAATTGGCTAGTTTTTTGTGGTGCTCACTCCACCGAAGAAACAGCAATTCCAGCCTCTTCTCCTCAGCTTTAGCAGCAAGACGTGCTCGAAGAGTCTTAACACAGAGACAAGAGTTGGGAGTTAGTTACATTTCTCACATTATTTATTAGGATTTACCACAGAAGTTCATTGCAAGAATAGCTGAAAATGTTAAACTGAGACACACCAGATCTCTTTTCAGCTTTTCATCAAGCTGCTCCCGCTCTTGTTGTCTTAATTTCTCACTATCTTCGCGCGCCCTTTGCTCAGCCTGGCATTATTTTGATGTCAAAAGTACTTCTCTAGGCTAAGGTTTATGATCATTAGAACAACTGTTTCTTTCTTCAGTTCTTTCAAACTTTTTGAGGGGGGAGGAGGGAATGGGAAAATAGTTGGTGTAGATTGTATGAGAAAAAATGCACTTGTAGAATAGCTGGTGTGGACTGTAAGAGAAAGCATGTACTCATATATTCATTTTCAAGTGCAGACGTAGTCAAAAACATGATGATAAAAACTATTGGTCGAAGAAAACATACAATACACCAGAGACCCCATCCACCTATCAAAGAAATGTTTTCAACAGGTATAGTATCAACAGCATACCCAGTGAAATCCCACAAGTATAGATGTCTCAAGATTCTTGAGGATTCATAAAAATGAAAATATTCAAATATAACAAAACTAAAATACCAAATTCATCAGAATAATCCTCAAATTATAAAGTTCAACGATTACAAAAGTGAGAACCAATTTCATCTGTAGGTTAATCCCTGTACATTCCTATGTAAACTCAAACTTTCCTGACTAAAGTTCAAAATTAAAATATTAACTCAAGCTCCAACCAAATTATTAGGCCACAAACTCAAACTCATATAATTTCATTACCCGATAATTTTTATCCTCCAATAAAGTTGGAAATACTCTACTACACCTCAATCTCAGTCGTATAAATCCTCAGTGAGCATGTCACAATATCTACTATAAATGCTCATCTTAAGTCAACATTATACAAAATAAAAGTAGAAGTAATGAAGTACAGTAGAAATAGAAATAAAAAGTACATCCTCCAATGAAGTTATATGTTAAGCAATAAAAACATTCAACCAGAGTTAATACAACAATATAAGATCTGAGTACTCACCCTTTTCAAAGAATCTGACCTCCGCATGTAAGCCTCAGTCCCTGAAAGCTGCATGTCTTCTTTCCGGAATTTCTGAAAACATTCCACACATATAATCAGAGCAAAGGTAGGTGAGCTAAGTGTCGCTGTGCCAAACAGAAACTAACGATTGTACAACTGAATTACTGAGGGTTCTAAATTGAGAATTATCTTTCAAGGAAATATTATCAAACTGATCAATGTAGAACGAAAAGATGCTTAAAACAGTTTCTTGACTAATTCCAAAAGTTTTCTCCTAGAGGACCTAGACACATATGAGGAGCAACATTAAACAAAAATGAAGTCATTAAGATGGTTTACCAAATCCCTTGAAAGCACTTGAACACCTTATTTGGACATCAAATTTATAATTCTCTTTCAATAGTTTTTCTTCTTTATAGCATCAGAGTTTGAATATCAAGTCCCTCGTTAGTCTTTAACTGACAATTCAAGCTTAAGTGATAATATCCGGGAGATCTATAAGTTATAACACCATATCTCTACCTCTTTTCAGTGACGGAAATAGATTTATTTTGTATGTGCTGCAAGAAACACTTTCTTTGGTTATACATCAACGACTTTCCTGAGAAGAATTTCAATACCGCTTTTCTGGTTTAGGTGATTGAGCACTATTCTGATGTTACCTTGACAAAATTATTTGGATAGCTTGTTCTTCAACTTAAGAAATTAAGCACAAGCATATCGCCAGGAGATGGAATTTTATAGCAGTTCAACTATTAAAGAAACCAGATTGGCACCTATGAAGCAGCTATAGGTTCAAAATACATAAATCAAACCCATGACAAAGAACTTTGTACTCACCTCCAAGGTCCCCAGCAGCTGCCCCAACATTCTCTTATTCCTACTAACCAATTTAGGATCCTCGTTTTTGGGCAACACTCTAGGCACAGGCTCTGGTGGAGGTATATCAAAATCCTACACAAATTATTCAAAGCAAATGAATATCAATGTCTCTAAGGTGCAGAAACACACCATTATCTTTATAAAAAGTACGAGGACTAATAAAAAGAAGATGTAACCCCCCAAAAGGTTACCATCCATATTTACCATTTTGGATGGCCTTTGATAGCCATCTCTCCGGAGCCAATTGGATGGCTTTCTTTCATTGTGGTTGGCAGGTGCCTCCTTTGGGCCTGCCTCCACAATTGACTCTTCCTTATTTGCATCCCTTGGTGCTCCGGATACATCCTCAGCAATCTCCCCCTCTTCAATCTGAATCCATAAACCAATATACAAAAAATAAGATTTTTACTCTATTTGGAAAAACAACAAACGACAACAACAACAACAACGACAAAATAGCCTTAATCCAGCACAAACTATGATTTGGCAATGAATTTTCCATATTCATTCCAGCTTGTTTCTTTAAGCAAATTTGTAGTTCTAGTTCTAAACACACGAATTCCTCAGCGGAGAATTATTGAATTTTCAGTGTTCACCTTCACAACAGCAGAAGAAATACGCCTTTTAGGTGCTGGCTGATCCTCTGAATCATTCCTCTCCGCCTAAAGAGCCAATTAACAATAACACCAAACTCAATAACCAAAAAAGGACGTAAATTACAAGACGCTTCCTCTCAAAACATACAAAGAGAACTTACAGGTCTAACAACGCCGCGTTGGCGACCACCATTGGCAACAAAATTCCGTGGACCTCCGCCGGAGAATCCACCGCGGCGAAGACCTCTTGGATCCTTAAGCCGCTCAGTAATCTAGTTAACCAATAGTATAAAAGTTACAAAAAAAACCTAGAAAATTGTATGGCATAGAAAAAGATAAAGAACAGACCTCGCGTTGTTGCCTATTGAGTTCAAAGAGTTCTTTGCGAAGCTCTTCCTCCGTCTTCTCCACTACGCCGCTCGCCATCTTTTAGGGCTTTGAGTTTTCTTCAGTCTCTCCCTTTATTAAAACCTCTGAAAACTCGGACCAGCGAATGATCGAGCCGGTATAGCACTACAACAAATTGACACGTGAACCGGTTCGGTTTTGTTATGACTTATGAATTTAGGTACTCCCTCCGTTTCAAAAAGAATAATTTCCTTTTCTTTTTAGTTAGTTTAAAAAATAATGATTTCTTTCTTTTTTTGGTAACATTTTACTTTTAGCTTTTCACGTGACATGTTTAATACCACAAGATTAGGACAATTTTATACATTTGACATAACTTTAATTTAGGACCACAAGATTCAAAAGTTTTCTTTATTTTCTTAAACTTTATGTCAAGTCAAACTAAGTCACTCTTTTTGAAACGGAGGGAGTATTATTTTATGCAGATATTAGTTAGATAAGTATTAGTTATTTATGTATTATTAATTATACATATGTTAGTTATTTCATCATATATCCTGCATAAAATAACATATAGATATCCTCATAACTTATCCATGTATTAATTATGCTGGTTTCTAAATTGTCAATAAAACGCCGTATTAATTTTGAATTTCGTATAAGTTATAAAAAATAATGCATGAATAACTTGGATCTTATCTAGCTATTAAACGGACCATAAGGGCGTGTTTGGTAAGAAGGAAAAAAAAATTCGTGAAAAATAATTACCTAAATTTTTTTTTAAAAAAAAATAAGTGGATCTTTTACTTATTTCTAATGTCTGATAAGTAAGCAAGAAAAAATAATTCAAAAACATTTATATGTTATCTAATAAAAAGTTATGAAAGCAGATAGAGATGGCTAAGGGGTTCAGGGGTGGTATGGTCGGGGATGACCGGATGAGGATTGGAGGGAGTGAAGAGTAGATAATAAACTTAGAATTTCACTTATACAACTTGTTTTTTTTAGGGAAAAATTGTCTGAAATATATTCAAACTTTGACCGAAATTGTTGTAACAATACCGAACTTTGGAAAAGACCTTTTACCCATGCACTATTTAATAGTGTATTTTAAAGGTATATATGTGCCCACGTGGACATCATAAAAATTACATCATAATAAATAGTAACGTGTCCACGTGGAAACATATATACCTTTAAAATACACTATTAAATAATGTAGGGGGTAAAAGGTCCTCCATAAAGTTTGATATCGTAACAACAATTTCGGGCAAAGTTAAAGTTTTTTTTAGACTCTTTTCCCTTTTTTTTACTTTCATTAGAAAAGTCACTTTCCTTATTTTAAGAAATTTGAATATGAAACACAAATTTAAAAATATTTTTCTCCCTACCAAACAGACCCTTGAGTAATTATAGTAGGGGAATTGTTGAGGTTTTTCCTCGACAAACTTCAACATAAAGAAAAGTTAAATGAATTGTTTATTGTAAAACTTAAGCACAAAAGAACAATATAAAGAGGAAGAGAAATAGAATATAAGACAATAGGAACAATAAACTAACTTTCTTTCTTTCAAGTGTTCACCAAATCTTCAAGTGTATACAATATGAACCCTTATGCCTCTATTTATAGTGTAACATAGAGGCATACAAAAGGTTAGTCATAAACATGACATTAACATGAATATAATGGAGAGGTTATGGAAGTGAAATGTTACAAGAATAATGGTTATAAAGGTGGAGGTTATGGAGGTTATGGTTATCTTCACAATGGAGGAAAGTATGGAGTAACTTGATGTAGTGGATATCCACAATATATTATTTTATAACATTGTTTAATTTCTTTACCAAATAACTTAAATTAGATATCATTGGCAGTGAGAAAATTCATAATACAGATGTTTTTGGCAGATATTTTAGATATGCTTAAAAAATGAGTATTGAAATATTCAGGTAAGACAATGTTTATATCAAGTCTCATCACTAAATTTTGGAGCATCAAATAAGAGTTACAATTCATTAGCAAAAGCAATGAGATATAATTTTTATTTTTTTGGTTTCCATCAGGTGTTCGATATCCACATTGGAGCTCCACTAAATCCGGATTCACATCGAGAAGTCCCACAGAAGGTAAAGCGCTCCCTAACAAATGCGTGAAAACATGTTGCTTATTATTGTATAACTTATTGAACAAAACAATATACAATGTCATTGTAAGGGTAATAACAATTATGGAAGATTGCAGATACTTGTTCACAAAATAATTGACAAATAAAAATCACAGACATGCAAAAATCATTTAATTTTGAAGTACTTTTCATTGTATCGTGAAAAAATCAATTAGGAAATCAAATTTTATATACAGACAAAGTAGATGATGTATAAGGAAAAAAACAAAAACCAAATAGAACTAGTTGTTTGACACAATTATATAACTTTTTAATAGTTAAATTTTTTGAAAGCCTTTCAATTGATATCAATGACAGGGTAAAACGATTGAAATAATCAATTTTAAGATTGTATTTGTATATTATTTGATTTATTTTAGTAATTATCAACATCTTTAAGTTTCTAAATTAATTACAGTAATTATCATAGCCTTTATTTATATATTTATTATTAATATAGTTTTATTAAAGAATAACTTTTATGCGCTGCCAATTATAGAATTAGATAATTAAAAAAAAAGACATTTTATTTTAGTAAGTTTTACTTAGATTAATGTTAGATGCTTTGGTATTCTGTGGAGAGCTGAAATAGTTAAATGTATAATTTTCCCACTCAAAACTTACTTTATTTGTAATAAATACTAAATTTGATTTGATCTTCTTTCATATAATGTAGTTCTTTGTAACAATATAACACTCACACTCAAAGTTCTAAGATTTGAGTGTTTTATTAAAATGGTGCATAAGAAAAAAGGACCACTTGTAGATTAAAAAACATATTCCTATTATACAATACTTTAAAGAAAAAGATTTGGATAATAATTAAAATTTATGGAAATTGTATCTTACAAGCTGAAAATTAAAGACTAGAGTATAATTTCCGTTTTTTAGCATCTGTTATATGTTGGGCCAATTGGGCCCGTAATTACCCAAACATCTTCGGTATTAGGCTTTTGGTTATATCCACAAATTTGAGACCATATGTTTGTTCGCAGACTAAATTATCTTAAGATTAGGCGGGATAATATAAGTTGAATACGATGAAGTAAAATATTTCAGAAAAAGGTTTGAAATAAAATATATATTGTATTTGTTTGGCGGTCAAAATTTATTTAAAGTTGTTTTTCTTTTTTCATGTTCAACAATTACCTGTTAAATATGTACTATACAAACATTTTTTCTTTAGGGTATTCTTTTCACTAATTATATCTTACTAGTATATGTGTCTGCGCGTTGCGCGGATATTTTAAAATGATTTTTTTTAATTTAACAATGACTAATATGAATTATTATTGAGCGTATATATATTATATATCTTTTACTTAGTATTATTTTCTCTTTTTTTGGAACATTGTTTTAAATATAAAGATGCATAAAATCAATTGTATTTTAAACTAATAAAATCTTATCATATTTCTCATGGATTATTAGAATTTTGTCCATAATGTAATTTCTACATAGATTTTTTAAAGAAAAACCTTTAATGTTGAGATTAAAAGGATAGTTACAAACCACCTTATCTATAAAAAGAAGTGTAGTTGAACTAATCTTTACTTATCAATTAATTTAGGGATAATTGTACATAATGGCAAACTATTAATTCAAATTAAATGGTATAACCACACTTTGATTTAATTGTGCCCTATAGCAAACTGTTTGCCAGTCGCCTTTCTCCCTCAAACTCTCGCTCACCACTCTCCCTCTGTCGCTCGCCTCTCTCGCTTTATACAAACAAAAATGTATAAATTGTGTTTCTGTTTGTATAAAGCGAGAGAAAATTGTATATACACATGCAAATACATATATCTTCGTCCTATACACTTATAATTATACAATACAAATATTTCCCTGTCCAGTTCTCTTTTGCATTTCTCTCTTTTTCGCTTTATACAAACACAAATTATACAAAATATAACATAATTAAGGTGAATTTATACTTCTTTGTTATCAGCAAGTGATATAAAATTTCTTTATGAAAAAAAAAGAATATGATGTATCAATTTGAGAGCATAAAAACTCAACTCAAATAAGTCGTTAAAAACAATTGTTTTTACTATCCAAAAAATGATTTTTCCTTTTAAATGAATCAATTAAATTGAAGGCAATAGTTAAGCAAGTTTAGAGTACCTATTGAAGTTAATGATTAGATCTAACGATAAATATAGTGGGTCTAATTAAATAATAACATATCTTAAAAATTTTAATTTAAAATGAATTAAAATAATTGTACATTTTTTATTGTCCCTTGATTCATCAAGGTTTATTAGTTGTTTATGATAAGTACAAAACATAGTTTCGACTCTTCTTTAGCCAACTCAACAAAAGAACAAATTATGTCGTTGATTTCAAATCATGACACCTTCTCAACCTATCAAACACATTTTTATACAATTTAAGATGTAAATTTAAAATCATATAGTGTTAGAGACTTTAAAATCCCATAAAATTTAAAGAATAAAGTTCCAACTAAAGTTATCCAATTTTTACCTATCTGGGTGCTAAATCTCCCACTAATGGTGATCCTCTTGATATTGAATTTCTCACTGATAGGACTACACTCGATAGAGTATTAATTTACTATATTTTATCTATTATTACTTTGTGTTATACAAAACAAATGAAATTTTAATAACATGTTAGAAGTACTATTTTACTTATTGATAAAAGAAATAGAAATTCTTTATACCCAATAGATTTTGGTGCATCAAAATTTTAAGGAGAATTATACAAATAATAATAAGGAAGAGCATATTGTGGGTCAGCAACATAAATCAGTTATAGTGATATTTAAAAAAAGTTTTGCAAATATTTTAAACATCTGCCAACAAACTATATAAAATAAAGCAACTGAAGCAATATTTTTATTCTACATGAACAAAAAAATGGAAGCATAGCATAACTATCAAGTTATATTGTATGACAATCACATTCATTACACCTGCAATAGCCAC